AAAAAAGAAGAAGATGCTCAGGCTCTCTCAAGAACACTAATTAAAAGCCTATCAAAGCTCAGTAAAATGTTTACCTAATGTAACAAATATTGCCAAAACGAAAACCCAGAGAGCGATAACCACGTCCATGCCACACTGGCAATGGAGTAAACTGCATATAACAATATAATAAAGAAAAAAAAAATAACAATAATATAAAAGGAAAATGAATCTGAGTATAGGGTCATTCAAATTGAACCTAATTAAAAAAGGCACAAATCTCAACTCTCAAACCTGAAGATCATGCACTAAAAATGGTTCTTCTTGAATTATGTTAAACTGCAATGCTGAAACTGCTGCACCAGGTGTAACTCCACTTGTATCTACCAAATAATAATGAGTTTTCTTCATGACCTGGAATTATTAACAAAAAAAAAAAAATAAAAAAAAAAATTAAGCTATAAGGGATGTTATATCGACTTTTCTGATTCAAATATCAGGAAGACCTCAAAATCACGTTGTGCTGTATAAATCGGGACAGAAGGCTGAACATTGTTTGTCCAATCGCGTAAATCATCCAAACCTGAAAAGGACATAAGCTTGCTTATAAAATAAATTCATGATATTCGATCGATATCATTCATACACGTAAGTATAGAGAGTAAAATCATGCGAGAGACCTCCAATTGCATCAGCATGAGAGTGAGTAATAATAACCGCATCAATTGTTCTTATCCTGACAGAAATTCAAGTAGTTCTCATTTTAGAAGCTCATGAAGAACACACAAACGTCGCAAGGAGAACTGAGAAAACACAATGGAGAAGTTTTTTAATCATTTTTAATATTATCAATAGTATCTTAAGCAGAGTTAGATGACTCGAGAAGAAGGCATCCTCTCCGTAATTATCCCTATGCAAAAATTCATGTACTAAAGTAGCATAACTCCATGTAAAGCAAAAAATTATATAAATTTACAAATGCAACAAATGGACAATAACCCAATTAATAAAATCGAAACCATAATTGTATTTGCATATTTTGAAGTGCAATTAACTAAGATCACACAAAATAGTTTGTAGGCTAAGTAAACTAAGTTAGCTTACCCGTAAGCAGGGAACCATTTCAGAGCACTATGATAGAAAAACCTGTAACAAGCGAGAGGGATATGGCAGCTTAGTAGATATCATGTGTGCTTCAGAGAAAAATTAATGACGTCAATTAAGCCCAGTTCCATATGATATAAGCATGTAATAGATATGCAAGCAAAGAAAAAAAGTTCTTTCTATTACAAATTTTATGTGTGTGTCCCAAATCAATATTGTCTGTGAGCCCCTTTATCAAACGAGTATTTAAAACAATGAGCATTCACCTAAAGATTCAAGAATATATGTGTCAATATTTATGAAAGTTTCATTGATGAGTGTAATAAGTCAGATACTTTTAACATACTTGCCCGCATCAATAAGAATGTTACACATTCCAGATGGTCTTTGGAAGCGAACAAGGATGCTTGTGTTAAGTCTCCTGTTCTTGTTACCCGGTTCTGTAGCCTTGATGCAAACCTATTAATTTTACAAAAATAAAAAATAAAAAATTAGTATTCCACCTCATTGCTGACCAATACCATAGAATCATCTAAGAAAATAATGCAGAAAATCGGCATTAGTACAATAGACTTACTGGACATGTCTTATTAGGGTTAGTAAGGCAGCTAACACGCGGAATCCCTTCACTAGTCCCCGTTCCTATGAAAATGATTTCCGATTGGTCAATGGCTCCATTTGAAACACTTACAGAACCTGTAAAAATCGCAAGAAAAGCATTCAATTAAAAACCCTGCATAAATTTGCATAAAGTTCCCGGCCTCAGAAGAAAAGGAGGAAAGAAAAATAATGAATAATTAGGCAAAGAGACATGGTTTGGTTGCATATTCTATTATGAAAGGGGTATTCATAGAGAAACTAATCATAGGATGACCCAAATAATATGCAAATGACTAAGAGTATCCAATTATTCACAAATTATTCACGATCAAACACAGTATACATATAATACGTAAGATTATTAGTTAAGAAATGATATAAATGCACATGATTAAGTCAACCAATCACATTCCCAATATCAATTTGACAAGCACTCAAATGATAACCATCGTGACAAATTTCCTTTTTTTCCTATTTGATGTTGATTAAAACAACCATGAAACAAGAAGAAAACAAAAAATAATCACAATCGTGCTTATATTCCAAACACTTCTATTCCTTCAAAACTAAGAGCCCTGAAGATTAAAGTGCATGTACACAACACTTTCAGACTACACTGCTGAGGATTCTTTTTCGGGTTACATTTCAAGTACATTGTTTTCTCATACAGGACCATTAAGCTCAAACTTGTGCAACACACACAATCTCCAACTAAGCTCTTTATGCATCAAGGTACCATTTAAAGCTCAATGCTAGATAAATTGGAGAAACTTTAAAGCATAGACTATGCATTATTTTTTTCTGCCACCCAAACAGACATTCATTATAAACTTTTGCTCACTATGTTGTTATACACCTTAAATCCTATACAGCA